GGGGGGGGAATCCGCAATCAGTTGGGCGTGTGTTCTGTTTGTGGCGCTCAGACAAGCCTCTCTTGAGGGAAAGAAGAAAATGATGGGAGATTCACAAGGGATAACTACGGCGGGAATATATAATCTATCGACTTCAGAGCATTGCATGGTGTTGTTTCTTACTTGAGTAATTGGGTCAAATAAAATCTAAAACCTTCCCGTCCTGTATAAGTGCTTAGCCATTTCTATGTGAGTAGAGGATGGTCCTTTGATTACTGAGTACGTACTAAGGAATTCAGATTTGAAACAACCAAGCGACAAGACAAATATCAAGCTTTGGTCACCCCTCCAAACCACGTGTAGACAGGTAGACAAGTATGCAGAGACATTATAGTAATCCATACAGAGGCATTCTTTAGAACGAATATCTCAAAATTCACTACCTACCTACCTAGGTACCTACTAACCTTAGATTAGCTGTTCATACCCAGTTTGAGAACATTGATGCTATCTGGCCAATCGAAACCACTTTATTCGACGTCATAACCCACCTAGATACGCCCAATCACTTGACCCCTCCCCCTCATTCCTTTGACCTGTCGGGCTCTCAATAGCATGTCTTCAGCGCGCACTGCACCAGGTTTATAGGGGACTTCCAGTGAGGATAGGTAGCCGGGGAAAGAGCTGCCCGGTCCATTCATGCTCTATCACCTCACATTCCTCTTCCCGGATTAGACCCTGGACTGGGCTGCACTGGGCTTGCGACAAGAGTCACTGTTTCTCCCATCCTCCCACCAGCCTGTTAGTAATTTCCTTCCTTCTTCCACAAGCACAAACCATCGATACCCATTCAATTCAACCAATCTTGCAGCTTATCGCGCGACCGTCTACTGCATACTCTCCGCTTCATCCAAAGTCCCTGAGTAACCAGTCCCCGGCGGCAAGACCCTTGATACCCGACAGCGTCGTATCAGTAATATCTTCACAGCTAGTTTTGCAATCGTCCCGATTCTAAGCTTCTGAACACACATTTCCTCCTTCTCCAGACCTCTAGATACTTCCTCAATAGATACAATCCATCATCGCCATGGCGCAAACACAACCCCCGACCTTCATCAACCTCCCTCCTCCGGGCTCTAGGCCAGAGACTCCATCTGAGATGCCGTGTGTTACTCTTTTCTCTATTTTACTTGACTTGCCCTGAATATATTGGCCCTGCTTCCATTGAATAATAACCACTGACGCTGTCTTTCACTTCAGCGGCACTCCCACAAGCACGACCACATCTCTTTCGGCGTTATCGACTACCGCGATCAAGGATGGCCATCGTGGCCACTTCCCTCAAGGTCCCCTCAGTCGCGGCCATCAGCATAATCCTTCTACCCAAAGCCTCGAGGCTGAGCGTGCTGACCGTATCTCCCGCCTTGCTGGTCTCGAGAGGGTTTCAACACTGCGAGCACCCCCTTATGCGAACGCTCCTGGAGCTTCGTCTGCCTCACCACAGACCACCCCGACCTCAACAACTGGATTCCCGCCGAACTATCCTCCTACCCAACACTTGACGCCTGCATACTTCGACAGCAATGGACAGCCTGTTGCCGTGACCAAGATGAGCACTGTGGGAACAGCGAGCGCAACTGAGAGTCACGTTGGTGATGGTGATGATCTGCGCACAACTGCTGGCGAGCGAGATGAGGACATGTTTAGCACTGACACCAACTATCGTGAAGCTGAGTCGGTTACAAGTATGGGTGGCTACCCCGATGCTATGGATGAGGATCTTGATGGTGCTACTGCTCGCTCTGTCGGTGGTTATGATGATCGCATGAGCGACGATGGGTCCGCTTCTCTGGTGGGCTTTGGTGAGGGCGCAGGGAGCACTGTATCCGGACCTATCTACCACCGTCGAACGGCCCCCCAAGCTTGGGGTCTAGAGAGAACCAACTCGGGACTAAGCGACATTCGACGCGATCGCGACACTCATATGGGTGGCGACACTCCTGTGAGCGTCTCAGCTCTACAGGAGCGTCGTGATGCTCGTATGATGGATGGTGTCGCAACGGATCCAAACCCGGGACAAGCGACAGAGAACGACTCTTTCGTCGACACTACCTTCCGTGGACCTGTCACTACATCACAATCACAATCACAGGCCGGTGCTGCCCAGGAGGCAGCGGAGCGAATTGTGCAGAGATTGGACAGAGGTGAGACAAGAGCTCCTGCCTCTGGTCTTGTAGGGCCTGGACGAGGCGACGAACCATTGGGCAAGTTCTATTTTGAGGGCGAAAAGCGCGAGGATTAAAAAATTGGGTGGTATCTGGAGCATTACACAAGCCAATGCCTCAGCTATTTAGTGTGAGTTCATGCTCGGAATGGGAAAGTTATCAATATGTAGATTTAGGGCCAAAGTCATGTTTCTTCTTTGTAACTTGAGGGCCTTTGTACTGTCTAGATTATATGTGCACGTCGCTATCACAACGGTCTACATCCAATAATGCCCACTTGCACCTGATGTCTTTGGTACTGCGTATGTTTACGCGGCACATTTCGAGTTTAAAACAGAACGTCTCGGACATCACCCTAGAAATATATGTTTCAAGTCGTATCCTCACAGGGATATGTACAAATTTGTTCATCCTAATAAGATCTTCACGAATTGCATCGGTTAATTATAGTGAAGAAATACTGTTACGATCCAGTCTGTACATTGAACATCGTAATTGAACTTGTAAGGGTCAACGTCGGACCTTGTGTATCGCTTGGTGCATGATGCTGTACTATAAATCAGGGGGAGCCGCCGCCTCGGCGTACGTCTTGTAGCTGGCTTCTATATGTACATTTCCTGTCTATCGGGTGCGTAGAAATGCCTCATGTACTCATCCTGGCAATTGTCATAAAAGAAAACAAAAGGAGAATGTTATCTTCCTTTGAACCATCCTGAATCCCTGGTCGAAATAGTGACCTCAGTTGCGAAAAGAAGCGCTGCCAACCCAAAAAGAAGAGTATAAAAGAATAAACGCCGTGTTCCCATCGGTCTGAGATCGACAGTATGCTTGCTATAGTAGATGACATGAAGACTTCCACGTAGAATAGGCATAGCCTGGCTAACAAGTCCCGTCAGGTAAGGCCTAGTCCGAGCCTAATAAATGAAAGCATTGTGGAATCCCGCCGGTGAAATGGATTATGATTCCAGATATCTCCAAAACTATGTAGATATGAAAGCAGCGGCGACAACCGACCGCCCTGTAGTTTTGCTTGAGTTTTGAAGTATTATGTATAAGTAAAGACTCGTGAAATGTCTTGTGTCCTAGCAATATGCTAGTTATTTGGGCGATGAAACGAAATCGAAGATTTCGAAGATTGGAAGAATCGTGATGTTGTGAGAACCTCACGCACAGGTAAAATCCAGGCGCATTCGACGAGCGATGCCTTGCCAGTCCCACACAGAAACCCAGTCACCTTGTTCCATAAAGGCCCATACCTTTTCTAGAAGTTCCATGACGCGCTCACAGTTACGGAGACCCGTATATCCGCGAACGGCCCTGACAGCTGCACGAACACGCTCCTGTTGAGTCTGGTCAAAACAGGCAGTTCCGATAACGAGGCAAGGTATCAGAAGCAAAGTCTGGGAAGGGTCGGAAGGCTTGAAAGATTCCAAGATGGACAGAGACTCTTCTACTGCAAGAGTAATGCGGCGATCATGGTATGCAGGTCTCCGGGTCGGTGGAGGTGAAGATGCTCTATCTTGACATGATGAGTCATGTTCATGCATGGAGCTGGTTCTTGAAGGATTGCGTGAGGTAGGACAGCTGCTAGCCACTTGAGCGTCCGACACCCCTGTGTTTCCAGAACCACTTGATACTGTGGCCATCATGGAAGCTCGTCTCAGTGGTGGCGGTGGGGGTGCAGCCGATGCTGAAGTTGAAATAGGCAATGTGCTAAATGTCGAACGGCGCATCGAGGACACTGAAGGTGGGTAAATCGTTCGGAACAGATATACCCACATCATCTGCTTGTAAAGAAGCCCGACTCGGTCACGGCTATCACCCCATGGCCAGTTTGGCGTCCACTCGCGGATGGCCGCATCTATTTCGGCGGCCTGGTATAGGCTGGTGTAGTCTACCACAGGGTCGACTGAGGCTGCTATGTTGGCTCGAATTGTGTTTCTAATAGTAGTAATCTGAGAAAGATATTGGAAGAGACCATCGCCAACGCCTAGAAGACGAGGTGGTTGGATCGGGGAATCGGGCTCCCAGTCTTCGGACGATAACCGCGCTGTCATGTTTTCAGGATGCCAGAAGAGATCGTCGGCAAAGATGTGGTACTGGAAGAACTCCGTAATGAAAGTACAGAATGTCGGGTCCTCGGGGGGTGAATGCTGAATCAAAGTCTGGTAAGCCTGAAGGTGAACTCGGTGTTCACCTCGTGGGTTGCCATCCGCCCTGGTCTGGAGGAGCAAACAGAGCATCTGTCCGTATCTTGCAGACAGAATAGTCTTATACTCGGGATCATTCTTGTTCAGGGGCCGGCCCATATCCTCGTAAAGTCGTTTCATGGATTCATCGTGGTGATAGTCCGCTCGCTGTTGCAATGCCTCTCGGCTTGACTGAGGGTGATCTGCCAAGAGTTTGGCACCATAAGGAGTGTCCCAGTCAATATGCTTGCTGCTGACTGCCAAAATAGAGTGCATCAGTCCTTGGTGTTGATTGGCGAGGTGAAGAACGATATCTTTGAAAGCATTCCTGGCCTCGCCTTCGACCGTCAAGACGTTGCTTAAATGGGTGATGTAGTGTTTCCAAAAGACCTTGTCCTCGGCTGTCTCGACACCGTGGAAAATGGGCTGCATGGTGACCATAGGCAAGGTTTTCTGGCGCAAACGCTCTGGTGTATTGATCAGCAAAGTGGGTTGGTGCTTCTATCGAGATACTCACCTTCTTCGGCCTTTTCCTTGCCACTCTTCCATATCTGTTTTTCATGGTAACCCTCACAAACCACTGCGTTCTTCTCACAGTTCATGCCTAAAAACAAAGCGTTAGATCTCATACGTAAGTTGGACTGATATAGGAAGCCATACATCGTGGTTTCTGCTTCATGTTAGCCTCGTAGCTCAAACGCAAGTGGCATGCTGGTAACCAAGACAAGAGATGTCCTTCTAGTCTACAGCACCAACCAGGTCCCCGGGGGAATCACTTACCGCTTCATCACATTTCTTCTTGCGCTTGCGGCAGGTAATGCAACCAGTCTTCGATCGACCTTTTGTAACTTTACTTGCGCCTACAGCAGCTGTTAAGGGGTGCTTCCTCGGTCTTCCTCGTGGTCGTTTTGGCTTCGGGTCGCTGCTGGCGGATTCGATGGAGGCTGGTTCAAGCGGAGCAGCTTTGAGGTCGTCCATGTTAATGTCATCTTCGACGGGTTCCAGCTTCGGAATTGTGAGAATGTCATCCGAGCCCTGTTCCCAATTGTTGTCCATCTCAACATCATCTCGGTCGACGTACTCGGTGCTCCAGGAATCGGCGCAAGACGAGGAAGCTGAGTGAATCATTGTTGGTGCCGAGGAATTGTCCATCCCAATGCTCAAAGGCGATATCTGACCAGGTTGTAGCTGGGGTGCCATCGAAGACGACATCCATAACGACTCCATTGGCAAAGGCGATGGTGGCATCATGTTATTTGACTCTGTGGAGGATATGTTATCTCGGCCGTACCAGGTCAGGTTTCTTTCAGATTGAATAAAGCCAAATGAATGTTCGAGGTCATTTAACAATTATGACCATGCCCCTCTAGAGACGAAAAAGCATGAGATTGGAGTGAAGTTGATTGCAATAGCTGATCCCAAAGCTGGCGGTAAAGGCTTAGATAGGTACTTAGATACTCAAGTAGCTCGCCGATCGAGCGTGGTATGGTCCAGTACAGTACAGTCTCTGGAGCCTGGACGTGACGACCCAGCATGAAGCTGTGGAGACTAGAGGGTGGTGGTGGTGGGCGTTAGGGTGGACTAGTCGTAGACGCCAACACACCAACGGTTGATCGAAGCTCGTTTAGTCGCCTAGGACAGGCGATGGTTCCAAAATCGCAAGATGAAAGGGAGGGAAAGGTGAGGAGGCCAGGAGGATGGAGGGGCTATCTATGTGGGTGGAGGTCTTATTTGGAAGTCAAGGTGTGGAGGAGTTCTGAGATCCAACACTGGAACCCTTTCGCTTCTGCTCGTCTGTCCTGTCGACTCCATCTCCCCACAGTTACCGTGGTCTAGTCTAGCCATCAGGTTGGCCTCATGGTGTAATTAATGGCCAAGTCAAGGTCAAGGTGAGACGGTTCGCAGGGGGGTTTGGCAGCCCTCGATCACCATGTGCCGTTCGGTCCCGTCAAGGGTTACTCAGGCCGCTCGACGATGCCATACATGAATACATGGCCACCTCCATCTAGACCCTGTTATGCCCAGGGCCAACTACTGGAGGCTAAGTCAGCTAGTAGCTTAGGACGACAACCATGGTGAATGAGACGTGGAGGACACTGGATCTTGGCGCTTGTCTCCATCAAGCGCCTTGATGGGGGACAAGGGCATGGACAGGGTCTGAAAATCCACCCTCCGTAGATTTAGCGCTTCCAGGGCCCTGACAGAGATACTTCAGGGTGCGCAACAGGCCCGCCTGGGTGGGACATCCCCTTGTCTGGACTCTGGATTGATGGAGTTGTTGCAGAATCGTACTATGAATGTCAGTGAATAGATGCGTGCAGTGAAATATCAAGAGAGTCCACCGATCAAGCATCTCGATCAGCTCAACACATACCCCCAGGAAGGCCAATGGCAGCAAGTCATGCCGTTGTGCAATAGGTGGAGTAGTAGTGTCTATATGGTTCGACAATGTTGATCCGTTTCTTTGGAGTCACACGACAAAATGTCACCTAACTTTGGAGTACTGTACTGTAAATAAATCCCGAGTCTCCAACGGGGCGACGTTGCAGTGAAGCTGTACCATGATATCATTTGAAGTCCCTTGTGTTTGTACAAGTCTTGGGTGACATTGACGGATGTTAGGCGTTCATCTTGTCGCAGAGCATTAAATTCGCGTATAAAAAAATCGACCTGTTCAGGTTGGGCTCTCCCCTTCTTGCCTAGCCCATGATTTTAGGAACAAGACTGAATGTCCAAGAAGCAGCTTGGGCACCAAGTCGACGTATCACCTAGTGGACAGACTTGTGGGAAGATATTGATTGTGTCAACAATAGAAGGAAATTTTGGAAGTGGTTGGTCTGGATAAAAGACAATGGATGGTGTTGACAGCGGATGAATTGAACCGACATGCAGTTGTATTATGAAAGAAGCGAGTCGCGATGCAGATCAATGCATCCATGCCCATCCGAGGAGGCACCTGCCGTACGGATACCTACCGTAGTGGTGGAGTTGAGTAATGGATGAAAAGGAACTCACAAGTGCCCATGCCGTGCCTGCCTCTCCACCAATAAGTAGGTACCTCTAGGTAGTAGGTAGGCATGGAAGGCACTCTCATCAACCTCTTCCATCTTTTCTTCAGCCAAAACCACAGTTCCTCGTTTGACACAGCAACCAGCATGATGCCTACCAAGCAAGATCGTAGCTTGATCCAGACCGCCAACCCACTGCATCGCCCTTCTGTGTCTTGCAGAATCTCTACAGCAGCATCCCTGGCTACCACATTTGACTCGTCCGTTTATCGTTAGCATTAATTTGCGAGTGGTACATCTGCACAGCAGTGGGGACACTACTGGGAATGGTATGTCCGCGCTTGATGAACCTCCAATGCCCCTTTTCCATCGAGAACAAGCTGACTGACATGGTAATTCCATGTTTCTATCACCAAGTAACTTGTCCAGATGCATTGAACTACTGCAGCATGCTGCTAGCGCATGCGCCATTCTGGCGTCTGGAAATCAACGGCCTAGGATCGATTGACAGCTGTTTTGAGCTTTGTGATAAAGAAAAAGGGTTGGGCAGCTACTCTACCTGGGGCAGGCATTGATGGGTTCGTGGGTGCGTGGGTTCCGTCGCCATTCAATTACATACATGAGATGACTGGCTCTATTACTATGAAAAGGTTCGACCATCAAGTATCTTGGTGCTATATTGAACGAACTACCTATGCAATTTGTTTTGCTTTTTCGTCAAGGGACTCTACACACTTTGCGGTACGTGCTCCGTAACCGAACGGGTAGGGATATGACAAGCCCAGCTCACATCCTCCGCAGCCAACCGCCCCCTCACGGATCCTTGGGTGGTCAAAGCACACTTTGCTCTGAGACAATGCCTGTCTAGGTTGGTCGATCATCACGAATAGATTTACCTATCTCCCTGTTCGGCATGAGTACCTCCTACAGTTGGACTGTTACCATAGTCGGCCGCGATCACCCCTATCGAGCCTAATGTCCCATTCGAAAGGCTCTATCCGTGACTATCAATATCGTTAAAGCAAACTGTCACTCATCAACCTAACCCTCCACGTCAACTCACAAGGCTTAGCCTGAACGCAGACAAATAGCCATGATTCATTTGCGGGAGCAGTAGGAGCTTCCCCCAACAACACTCAAGTTAACGGATAGGACGCCTCGCGGAAAGAAGAGGCTATCAAGCCACTAATACTCTTGTTTGTTTCCGACTAGGCGAGAAGATGAAGGGTAGGCATTGATAGGACCCTGACTCTAACATGAGTCGGACTCTCATAACTTACTTCAACTTGTTATAACGTCCAGACATTCGGCCGTCCTCCAAATTGATACGACATTGCCCATTAGGCCCCTGGAGCGCTTTGGGCGTTGTTCTAATGGCTTGAGGGCTTTGCCAATCCTTTTACCCGAACTTGAAAGCGTCTCGAGCACAGCTGGATGTATGCGATGGTATACATGACTCGGCTTGCCTAAATGAGTAATCCTTTGCGATGCTTACCGTTACTATTCTACGTATCATTTAGCGAGTTGTTGAAAGCCACAACGGTTTTATCGTTAATTCTAATTAATCGATATACGCAACATGTCTCAGCTAAGTCTTCAACCACGAACGCACCAACTTGACAGCACGAGCTCACAAGCCAGCAGCTTCGGTATCCGCGTCTACCAGTATCACTCCTTAGACCGAAGGGCATACTGAGTATCAGGCGATTGCAATTACTTACGGCGGCCTCAAGGTCAAGGGTGTCGTCGTCGTTCCTTTTATGGGTTAGTTTGGCTGAAGCTAAATGATCATAGGAGTCTCGAGTGGATTGCTGACACGCAGCACGACGCTATGTCGTGCTATATTGTCCAAAGTATGTATGCACTTGCTAGCGGTCTTTTTTCAAATCCTTTGAGATGAACTCGCTCTAACAAAGTGCAGTTCCAGTCTATGTTGCTGGTATCTGTTGTCGATAGCATTTACTTGGCTTTACACCGCCCTGGTACATGGAGCCATAAGCCATTCAATAATGCCCGACAATTGAGTTCGACGGTGCGCCGGCTGGGACGCGGTCCGTTGACTGACTCCCGTCTTTTTCCTAGTCTGCGCAGCTGGGCAGGTGAACGGATCCAACCACATCGTTAGCACATGTCGAAAACGTGCGCATCTGGAATAACAGACGTCATCGACAAGGCCAGCTGTTGAGTCTAAATACCTAGGACTCGATCTGACTTGATACCTACATACCACACTACGTTAGGTCCAGGGCTCCCGTAAGTATCTATTAACAGCTGTTCTTCTGGTGTCCAACACTCCCAACCAATAGGTGATGTTGGTGTGTTTCCAACACTTGCAATGGAAGATCATGAAATGTTCGAGTGATGATGAGGCAGAGACAGATTCTGCACATCGGGAGAGACAGGCGGACCTGCAGTATTGACATACATCGAGTTGTATCGCACCTGGTTTAGCCTGGGCCGGGTACTACTGTGCTGTCGTGCAGAATCTGCCGTACCCAGACGAATATATCGTCAGGACCCTGGCGATCCCTCTTAGCATCAGCATCAGGATCTCGGTAGCTACAGCAGCTCTACTACGATACCCTGTTGGCCTTAGCAAACCCATCACCTGAACTGGATATTCCTAGTGTTCAGTCGTCAGCAAGCGCGCGGGTCAACCGGGCTAGAACACCTGGAGGCGGGTCAGCCTGAGCGCAAGATTATGCTCGCTGTTGATTTCATAGGGCGTAGTACTCCACCAAGCGCAGCCATCGTCAACTGACATCTTTCGTTTGACGCTTGAAGTCCACCAGACGGCACCAAATAGTCTGTGCCACAGACTGGCACGCGTTTTGTCACGGACTTAAGCCCACATAAAGGTCTCCTGTCTTGAGCCCGTGCATTTAGAACCCCCCTAGAAGGAGGTTCAGGTCGCCTAGTCTTTAGCAGATCTCCCGTTATCGGGCCGGTACAGATCGCCATGAATCGAACCAGACCTGAAGTTGGGATATGCGGTGAACCGCACTCCAATTAAGTTAGGCCATGGCCATCTCTGCTGAGGTGCGGAATCACAACTCTCGACATAGCAGCATCGATTCGAGGCGCGCCGCGGCTACGGAGGTCCTCCGATGCTGACCATTTGAGTGAGTGAATTGCTGCAATTTACTATCTGGGTCTCAGATTCTGCAGCTTTGGCAACCAGCTGATATAGCTGTTGGCAAGTTTTGTTACTATTTTTGCTAGGCAAAACATGGGGTCAAGCTGATGAATGACTTGAGACCGACGGAAATGAGCAAGGCAGGCAAAACTTTGCTCGGGATTAGTGTAACCGACATACATACGCATATAGCACTGTACTGTACATGGCATCAGGGTCTGCACAGATAATGATGTTCAATGCACCAACCACTACTTGCATGCTGTGCATACCAGCATTGTACGTATAGATATTGGAGAAAATCTAAGCCTAGGTATGGGGCTTTCGATGTGGAGAGGCTATCATACTCCATGACTAGTATTCAGGAGATGGGATGCTGGGATGTGTCGGCCTCATACTGGACTGGAACAGCCAACATCTGGAGATTATAACCGTAACTACCTCAGCCCAAATGACCATAACCGGAGCAAATAGTCCAATCCTACCTTTCGAGGCAATTTGACAACGGCCCGGCGAATTCCTACGACCCTTTTGTGTTGAATCAGCCCTGAAACCATTAACTTGGCGTAGTTCTGATTATGTGACTGAAGTTGAAATCAAGGCGTTTAGCTTGGCTTGACATAGCCTCTATTTTGTTTTCAGCACACGTCAGATGATATCGCCATATCCAGGTCCAGGTCCCGACGGTCCGAAGACACGTAGATTACAGGCTATACTCGACTGCATGTAAGTGAGAAGGAAACAGAGATAAGCTGCTTCGGGCGTTAGCCGAAACCCGAGGTGAGACGACCTAGTTTGGTTTCTCTTGAAGATGAAAGAAAATAATATTTACCTATGTACCCTACCCCAGACGCACAGGCTGGGGATGATCGACGGATGGATACCTATACCCATACCCATATCAATTGGGAGGCGGGGCTGGCTGTGTGCAAAAAGAAAAATAAATAAAAAATAATCGAGTGATGATACTACTGTACTGAACTAATGGATGATGGATGAATGAGTGAATGAGTGACGAATGACAAGTGGGGGCATCGTGGGGAGCGGTGTGTCGACCCTTTGATATGTGTGGATGGCTTCATCACAAGACGACGCCATTATCAAGATGAGCAATGGGGACTGCAATGAGAAATACCACCCTACCAGCGTAGCGCAGCACTATCCCACTCATCTACATTTATAATTTACGTTTTCATACAGTAAACATTTGCTTGGCAAGATCTTTTTGTTCTCAATGTCCCCTCCCCTGTCTTTGGCTTCTTGACTCGCTCGACAGCCAACTTATACTACTGTACTGTGATAATAATAATATTATTATCATCATCATCATCACCACCACCAACATCCAGCCAGTATCAACCATAGAGTAGCGACTGGCCCAAACAGCTTCCCAAAAGGGGACACCGTGGGTTCTCTACTCTGCACATGATTCGACGTCGGTCGAGTGCAAGTCTCGTGCGTCGTCACGGGGCGATCATCAAAGCTAACGCCCTAGACCACCCCATATCCCAGATATCTATTGCAAGATACGGTATTCCGTAATTCCCTCTCAACTTTTAAGCGATTGGATGCTGTCTTAGCATCACTGGTATGGAAACCCCCTCTTGGTCGTGTTATGCCGAAATGAAGCGCCCTGGTGTGCTGTGGCGTGGCTGTACAAGTGCATGCGTATGTATTGATATCTGGAGTCCTTGAGGCTTTTGCTTCAGACATGGATGTCATCTCTAGCGTGTCTTTACTGTATATTCTGCTGCCGTTGCTACACCACGGTGATTCATGCATGATACGACTCGGTCCTCAGAAACGTATGTGGAATCTATCATGGAACATCAACATGTGCCTGCGGGAATGGCGATCGAAGCTCGTGGTGACCAAGACCCTGCAATTCAAGTTGCAGATTGATTGTGTCATGGCGAGAAACGTGTCTAAAGCACCACCATCATCTTGGCAGGATGGCTTGGCCCCATTGTTGTTACATCTGATCATCCGAAAGCGTCTCACCTATATCCAGACCGAGAGTACAGCATCATAGTCCGATATAGAATCCTGACGACAGTTTGGAAATCACAGAGTGTCGGCTTGTTGATTGGTTTAGACCTTAAGTCGTTAGTGACGGCGTTTTTCAAATGGCTACCTAGGTAGGGAGCTACATGCAGTGGTACACAAATGCGAAAAGCATTTCCATGATGAGATCCAGATGTCAGTTGTATGTATGACTTGCACACAAAATATTCAACCCTTAAGACACCCAAGCATTGAGTCACTCGGACCGTGAATTTGTGCATTCAACTACGTCTTGATATTACCTCGTCATCTCTTCCATAAACTTGGCGCTCTTCTTCCGCCGTTGTTCGTCCATGGCTCATCCGTCTACCATTCAAACGGAAAGCAGTTCTGAGGCTGTTTCCACTGGCAGGTGTTGCCCCCGTGTTCCGACTCGGTGTTCGGGTTCCATCCCGGATTGCTTTGCGCGCCCAATCAGTATCAACCCTGAGTCCATGGGGCTTCCTCGCCCTGTAAGAAGTGATAGGTGAAACCCTATCATCAATAACAGCCCGCGATGGTGTTTGTGCTTGCTGAAGACGGTTGAGAGCAAGATCCAGCTGAGATCCGGTGGGAAGCGGCGGTACAGGTGGTGGGGGAGACGAAAAGAGCGGCTCAGGGGCATCTTGGATAAAATTCCTCCAGGCAACGAGACTCTCGTTGCTTGTGCGACTATCTAAAGCTAGACTCTTTCGAATCTCATGATCTCTAGTCGCGATACTTCCAAAAGAACTTTTGCGGCTCGGCCTCTTAGGCGACTGTCTTCCCTCGAGCTCACGTTCAACCTTTTCCCGGAAGAAAGCTCTTCGCTTCTCTATCTCCTGCTTATCCTCTCGGTGGCCTGATAGCCAGGGTGAGGAGCAAGGCGGCTCTGGCTGATCATCGTCAAACGGACGCCAGGCCAGCTGAGGTGAAGCTAGTGTTCTTGGTGTCGCTGGCGCACCGTGATCAGAACGCATACGACGAAGATTGCTACCGATCCCCGATGAGGGTGTCCTCGGAACGCCAGTGCTATGTTGCTTCGTTGTGGATGGAGTTCTGCGGTGAGCAAACTTTTGCTCTCCAGTATGAGGCAGAGGGGATCGAGCTTCACTCTGTGTGTCAAACTGCTGCTCTAAGTTTTGGTGTGCCTTGCTAGGAGTGTGTTTCGACCCGGTTCGCTGTGAAAAATCCCTTGTAGAAGGAGGTGCAAAAAGTCGAGTATCTTGATGGTTCAAGGTATCATGTGAACCTATCTGATCACTTAACACAGAAGGATCTGTGTCGTCTTTGACTCCACTGTGCGACACGATCCTATGTCTTCGTGGTGTCGTTGCGATAGATTTCACCCACTCTTTGACAGAATATTGCTTATAATGGTCTTCATCATGTGCATCGTGGAAGCTTCTGATCTTTGGGGTCGTCTCGTCCAAACTTCTGCTAAGCTGGTCTTCTCCAGGATCCTGAAGGGGATACCTGAGGCGTGCTTGAGTATCCTGGAGGTTAAGCATTATGCCCGACCTAGGAAATGTGCCATGAATGACATTTTCTTGGAGGTGTTCAGGTGTGAATCCAGAATGCTCAGTATTCTCCAAATTGTGTGAAACTTGATGTCGGAGCCTTCTGGTAGATTGCGTTGGGGTGATGATTGTCGAAGCGGACCGCTGAAGACCTCGGGGTGTTGGGGTCGTATTAGCAAGATTGGGTATCATATTGTCTAGGGCCCGCGGTGTGCGGTCGCCTTCTGTTACTGTGTGATTGTCATGATCGTCGTCTCCGTTATCGACAGTAGCAAATTTATAGTCCATGGCCTTGCTGTGGTCGCATGAGGTCTTGATTTTAATCCGTCCAACTGTTGATGAGACATCAGTTTTCAGCTCATCAAACATGCCTGACCATCTTCGATCATCATCTGCGTTCGCACGTGGTCTCTGCCGCTTAATCTGCAAAGGCTCTGGCTGGAATTCGGATATCATCGACTCTGCATCGATATCCCACAAGTCGGCTTTTAACCCCTGATGTGGTTTATCGCAAGGGCTCGATATTAACCGAGCTTGTCGAACGTCCTCGGAGACGAATTGACCACCAGAATCGCCGACAACACGCTCCGTAAGAGTCCCTGGTGTCAATCGGTGAGTCGGTTGGATTGCTATAGGAAAGCGAGCAAGTGGACTGCGCCCATCGGTAATAGTCAACGGGTCAGGAGTGGGTTCAATCATCTTACCCTTTGTTTTCGGCGTGGCAAAGCCCAGAACCGACAGGTTCTTTGTGCAAACACTTGAAAGTTGTCTTGATAGTACGAAGTTTCCAACGTCGCCCTGGAGTTCTCCATCAACTTGGTCTGAATATCTTATCAGAGATTCCATCTCGGAGCTCTTTTGAAACGCTGAAGAGCCATTCTTGCCTCCTACTGAAGCTACTCGACTGCAATATTCATCTCGGGCCTCGGACGCTGAGGGTAGACACACAGAAATATCTCCTCCTGTGGCACTTTTCGGCTGAGAAAAGGTTTTCTTGTGATCACTAAAGCCACCACTCACAGGTGTGGTGACATTTGAAATCTCACAACGATCTTTTTGATCTTCGCTCATCGGTCTCCAGTCCTCAACTCTGCCTCCAGCTGGCCCTATATCTGTCAATATCGATGTGTAGAATCTGCGGTTGCGGAGTGTTAGTGGGACTCACCTCGGTGTGGTATTGCTAGACCCTTTCCATCACGAACGTCAGCAGAGTTGCAACTTTCTATTCTTTTGATGGGCCATTGTGTATGCGGAGCTTTTTTGTCACCTCCATTGAAATCCGACTTGTCTGTGAAGAGGGGTAAAAGATCAGGAGTCTTTCCGAGGTGTAATGATAGACGCATAGGCCCGGTATAGTGCTTCTCTGGGAAGGGTGTCGATACCTGCCGTCCCCTATTAGACGTTTCTCCATCTGTTCCAATAACAGGATTGAAATCATCAGAGATAATATCACGTCGAATAGTATCAGGAATTCGGGGAATAATGAGAAATTTCTCATGGTTCTGTGTCCAAAACCACTCTGCATCATATCTTGGAAGTCTACGCTCTCGGTTATCGCGTTCTGCCAGGGATTTCTCTGTCAGATACATGCGAGCGTATTCCATGGACGAAATCCGGGGTTTTACAAGCTTCCACGTCGGTCTAGAAAGACTTTCTGTTTCTGTTACTGCTTTTTGGACACTCAACCCTTGCGCGTTTGGTGCGGCAGGCGACTCAAGACTGTGTAGAACGCCTGGAGACAGATGAGGCGCTTCATGCCTGTTATCTTCGGCACTCGATTTCCAGTGCTCCACACCTACAAACGGTTCAGATCGAGAGGTCTTACTCGTGGGTATTCGTGGGTATTCCTTTTGGTTTGACCTAATAGTGTTGGAACCAGACATAGACCCGTTCAGCTGCTGGAAAGGAGTGTCCTCCGATCTTTTCTTATGCGGCGAGTCAGGTCGGTGGTGCTTTTTCTTCATGATCTTGTTCAATACTCCTGGTGCAAGCTGCGTTCTAAGTATATCTGGCATACAAGTGACCGGGGGTGAATTCCCGCCTGCCTCATCCTCGCCGTCGATATCGTACTAGAATTCTCGATTATCAGCGAGTTCTGCAGGTAGGAGAAGGCCGAGAGATGCCTGTTCTTGTGTCGACATGTCGAGCTCTCGGGCTAGAGGGTGCTGGTGAAACAAGGTTTTGGAAAGATTGTTGGGATAGCAAGGAACAGGTGGCGGATCGATCTCTCTAGCTAGCAGAGCACCATTCGTTATTGCAGGGCTTATTTCTCGACCTGGCATACCTCTGAGCAAGGGGTGAAAGGCCAGAAGAGGTCCGGTGATAGCCGACGTTTTTGTTGACACTTGGCTAGCGAGTGATGTGTTCTGGGTAAGAACGACGTTATTGAGTTTAGATGAATCTACCGGCGGTCGGTCATAACCGATTGATGTATCCGTGCCGGACACCATGATAGAGTCAGCAGATACTGCATGATAATGATAGAGTCCGTTGTCGCCCTTTCTTCTTTCAAGATCGTTTGTAATGTTCAAACACACTGGTTCCAGCTTCTTGAATTCCTCACAGTAGCGCACCATAGCATCCCTGGCTCTTGGATAGTCGGGGGTATCACACCAGCAGCGCAGCTTCATTTGGATAACCTCCTGTCGCTCTCGTGAGAAACAGTCCTTGGAAGTCAGATGCTCGAAGACTGAGAAGCGAACACTATCACGGACGCCTGATGAATGCGGGGTCGGATCTATATCATCGTCGTTGCCCAGGAGCACAGCCGAAGGCACCAGAGCATTGAGTAGTGCCATTATCTGAGTAACCTCCTTCCTTTGCTTGATATCCTTTGTCAGCTCTTGGGTGAGAATCTGAAACAGTCAGCTAACTAAGCTTTATATACGGTATAACACGTCTTACACATATTCTTAACCCGGCATGCAGGTGCTTGAAGTTGGCAGATGACATCCGTTCAAGCTCCTTAAGCATTGGAGGTCGGCATTCGCGTGGCGAAGCAGCTTCGATGGCAGTATGTGTAGCTTTGAGAAGGCGAAGACGGCGAATCTCCATTGCATCCAGGTAGCCTAAGCCATTCATGGCGAGATCAAAATTGATGCCTCCATTTTGAGGCTTTCTGAAGATGGTAGAAGCGATGTACTTGGCATATTTGCGAGTATTTGCATCATAGTCGACTCCTCTAGTGATGCGAATTGCTGGCCAATCCTTGATGATCTGAGCACGAACGCTTGAGTCGTTGTCGAATGATAACAACCGCCTTCTCATTTGTTGTGCAAATCCGCACTGTTGAGGGTTCAGGTCATCGGCCGTGCCATCTATCAGGTCTTTGATAGCATCGTAACCACTGCCTAACCACCAGGCTTCAAGGTCGGCGGCGTACGGTGGCATCGCTCCTGAAGATCTATGATTCACCTATGAAGAGGAAACATGACGCATGTGCGAGATTGTTCAGAAAGCAAAGACGTTATGAAGTTGGCAGAGCGCGATGGGGAAAGTTTTGATTAACTTTGCGTGTTGCTAAACGGGCGGCGAACCTGAGGCGAGCGTTTGAAGTGAAGTTTGTAGGTCGCCGAGAGATGTTATGGCCTCATCATTGTAAACACCAGCTGTAGGTGCAGGTGCAGGTGCTTCCAAGCGGTCGGGGCCTTGCAGTTTTGGTGTTTGCCCGTTTGCATTGTCCGTGGGCGAGTGCCTGGAGGCAAGACGTTTTCAAGGCAGGTATTCACTGTCCAGCTCTGCTCTTGCCTTCCACTTTCACTTCCACTTCCATCGTGATTGAATGCAAGTGCACCATTGCATCCATAATATCATATATCACATGCCATCTTCTTAAATCCTGTCGTTGTTCCTCTAACGGAATCATATTTTATTCACTAATAAAACACTGGGTCTCTGTGATGTTGACTGCAATTCATTTCGTGAGGTCATTTTTGAGGTGGACATTAGTGACATGCATCTCGAACCCCTGACCTGCTGAATCTCCATTCAGGTTTAATTGACGAGGCCTCCTGCATTCCCCGCTAAAACGGGCTAGTGCCGAGAATAGCGGACCCTCTCACTGAAATTACAGGGGGAGCTTCTGCAGCTGTCGCCGATGATCTGGTTAAATTTGGGTGCCAAGGCCAATCGCAGCCAGTTTCAGGGCAGCTAACTGTCACTGGATGGTTCTGACGCAGCAGTGGACGTCTCGAGGAACCAAAGCTATGGACAATACCTAACTTTGTTTTTAGTCGGGACAAGACTAAGCCAAGCTTGAATTGGCCTGGACCTGTTTTTGTTTGGTGCCACGAAGCAAGCAACCATCTGTCAAGCTTGAACTCCAACTCTCTTCCTTTCTTTCCTTCCATTTTCTTTTTTGTCTGTTCTATTGGCAGCTTCATCAGCACATCAATAGGTTGATTAGGTTGTGGATGATACTGCCTGCCTAGTAGATACCTGCATATCTCATCAATGATTCTCCGGCATTCAGGACGCCTGGTGCGTCGCCTCAACCAACCTTCAACTCCAGCTGTCAGCTCCTGGAACTTGGCACTCTCAGCAGTTCCTCATATTCGGCATTGGGGCCCGAACCGAAATCCCAACCTTGTCAGCAAGCTCCAGTTCTCAACCCAGTCTAACAAAAAGAGAGGTATGTTGTCACGTCATCTCATGATTTTTCTGCTTGTACCTAGGTATTTTGGACTCAACCCTGGACATCATGTCTCTTAAGATTGTTGAACTACTATCGACAAGCCATCATGTTGCAGTTCAATCATGTTCACGGATCTTCATTCGTAGAATTATTACTGGATGCTACGTAGTCGAATTTGAATTCGAGTCGTTGCTAATTCTTTCACCCCCAAGTAGATGAACCTCAACGCTTCAATGCCGAGGGCCAAGGAGGTCAAAGACCTTCTTCAGAGCCTTCACTTTTAGTCAAGATGGGAGAATCTGCAGCCACAACTTTCGCTTCCATACTCGTTCTGGGTTTAGGCTTCGCTGCTGCAGGTTATATATATCACAAGTTTTATAAATGGCTTGTCGTTAAAAAGATGACACACGCTTTTGAGCCTGGTGATCCTGTCCTCGACTTGGCTGCAATTGGAAAGGATGTTCCTCACCAACCTGGCGGTACCAGTGAACACTGGATATTCCGTCCCGAGCAAGAACGAGTTGACGCTATCGTCATGGGAAGTATCGCAGGACACTACCACCTCTTGATAGGCGAGAAGGGATGTGGTAAAAGCAGTATGCTCATTGATGCCATGCGGAAAAACGATGGCGATGGTGTTGCCATGTTTGAGGCCCATGCTGACCTCGAAATCTTTCGCATTCGCCTTGGCAAAGCTCTTGACTACGAATTCCACGAGGATTATATCGGCGGATATTTCAGCGAGAGGGGCCCCCGCGACACCACGGCTCTGCTGGATATTGAGCGTGCCTTGAACAAGCTGGAAAAGGTGGCCATGACGAAGCGGAAAGAAAGAGGCAAGCCTCTTGTGGTCATCGTAAACCAGATGCATCTTCTCCGGCACGATGATGATGGACGAGACCTGATTGAACTCCTCCAGCAAAAGGCTGAGCAATGGGCTGCTGCTAACATTGTTACCATGGTTTTCAACTCGGATGATTACTGGGTATACGAGCGCCTGAAGCAGCTAGCCACCAGAATGGAGGTCCTCCCTGTTACAGACCTGCCCAAGCAACAAGCTATATCGGCCCTACAGAGGTATCGACAGAAGTACTGGAAGGAGAACGTTGAACACGGACTTCTCGAAGAGGTCTATGACAGTGTTGGGGGACGCTTAAGCTTTCTCAACCGAGTAGCAAAGAGTCGCGACATGCTTGGCACTTGCGAAAGAATCAAGGAGATAGAAAAGAGATGGTTCCTCAATCAATGCTGGATCTTGGGTAAGGAGATGGATGACGATGTTATGGATCAACAGAAGTGGGCTGTAAGTTGGAACAACTATCATGGTCTTATTGAACATTTCGCTGACTAACTAAAAGGCTGCTGCTATGAGTCTGGCTAAGGCCTTGGTTGACAAAGAAGATGATACGGCGAACGACGAGACGTATGATCCTATTGAAGGACATAAGCTTCCGACATATCCGTTTCACATCGCCCAGCAAATCATGACAAGATGCGACTTTATTCGAGACCTCGACAGGATGAACTTGTTTAGCATCACAAGCCAGGCAGATGTTCGTGCGAGCAGCGTACCGATGCATCGTGCGTTCAGAGAGATATGTTCCGAGCCTGGTTTCGACAAGCACCTGGAACTCACCATAGAGAGAATTGCCGCCATTGAGAGTTTGGGCCGAACCCGCGAGCTTGTCACTAAGGATCTGGTGCTCGGCGGTCAATACGAGATCGAGCAAACCCGAAAAGGTATCACGGTGAAGTTGAGGGAAGGCGAAGAGCCAGAGACAGTACAATGGTTTCCTGGAAATGAGGGGCCGCCAAGTCCAGAAGAATGACCGTATTCATCATTCTCTCGGTAGTGGTCCGATCATGTTTATACAAAGAGCATAACGATGGAAAGGCATAGTCTAGGCGGGATCAAGTGGGCGGACAAAGCGCAGGTGGATGGATATTTCAGTTCGTGATGAAGCGACCTGTACAGCAACTAAACGACTTTACATAGATTCCCTTGACACGTGTCGAAACAGCATTATCTATACAAATATACTCAAGACTAGGTAGTGGCTGTATTTCTTTAGATTAATCATCAATATTTTAAGCGCAACATATAATAATACGCATTGCGGTTTAAACACTGGCTTGTTTACATTTACCCATCGGTAAGTGCTCTACAAAAGGGGGTGAATGTTGACCGTGCTTGGCACGTGACCCCATCGGATCTTTGCCACGACAACGCGATCCGAGCAAACATCTCTAGGTTAACCGCCGCCCGTCAGTTTTTTTCGTGACGCCCCACCCTTCTTGCAAGTTCACCTTACCCTACACGTCTACATCTCGCGTTCTTTGGACGAGATAAAAGCTATCGTCGCAAAGAAGCTTTTCGATGTCATCGAACGGCACCGGTAGCAGCAAGTGGCCTGACTTTCGGCTAGCATCTACTCTGCGGTCTCTTGTGCCTGGCTTACAACCCAAAAGGCCAGATAAGCAAAACAACGACAACGCCGCTGGTCACGACCACGACCACGACCACGACAACAAGCAGCAGCACGAGAGCGAACCCCAAAACGAGCTTCATGAAGATCTAAATCCACCATCCAGGATGGCCCACGAAAATATGGAAACCGAGGACCAGCCAATTGATGGTATTGGAGGGTTGAATAGCTACAACAACGATGTTCAGGCTGGTTCAGACAATGATGACCAGGATCAAGACTTCGGCGTGCTCGAAATGTTCGATAGCAACGCGACACAAGCTCCCTACTCATCCCAGCTTAACAATGCATCTTACGACGAGAAAGCACCCGAGGCACTCATGACAGAAGAGGCGCCTTCCTCCCAAACACGAAAGCACAAGCGTGATAAGAAGGAACGCAAACGGAAAAGCACAAGTGACGACGCATCTCTCCAACTTTTGACGGAAGAAGACTCCTCGCGCAAACAGAGAAAGTCCAAGAAAAATTCAGCGCAAGTAGCCGAGATACCTGATAGCCTTGCCGAAAAGAACTCCTCGAACGCATTTCAATCTCTGCCCCAGCAGATTTCAGCCGTCGATCTTTATGATGATGGTGCTACTCCTGCTACTCCTGTTACGCAGGCGAAACGCAAGCGCAATTCTTCCGATTCCACAGATGGCAAAGAGCGCAAAAAGCGTAGATCACGCGACGATGGAGTCGCCGCTGAGTCTCAAGATATCGTGCCAGAAACTCAAGAAGGCGCCCAGAGTACATTGGAAGGAGCGAACACTCGCGACTCTCCAGCTGCATCGTTTTCGCGTACTCGGAACGCGCCTCGTCTAGGTGCCATCGATGATGACGTTGCAGATGATCCCCCAGAATTGCCACGGTCACGAGAGGGTAGTGCCGCTCCCGACGAGATGGACTTGGACGTTTCGACTGCACAGGGAGAGCAAGAAGAAAAAGGCAGTGGACCAGTCGAGCCCCGTGAAGTCAATGGGTCACAAAACACTCACAATGAAGATGTTGAGAGAATGGCCCGAGAAGCGTGGAATGAGCATGTCATCAATGCGCAGAACAACACCAACACCCAGGACTCAGCAGACCAGCACGATAAGATTGAGATTCCCACATCTGCACAACGTCAACAGACAACTCAGGATGTGTACGATATTCCGGGAAGTCCTCTACAAACCCCGGACGCGCCCATCGCAAGCGCAAAGAAATCGCGGACCGCATCAGCTAAGACAAAGAAGGCCAAGCCCACATTCTTTGAAAAGTCGCCGTCTCCTGATCAAGATGATCTCGCCCCTTTAGCATCGCCCTCTGCCACAACACAGGCACCTCCAAAGCGTGCTAAGAAAGCTTCGAACCGTAAAAAGTCTGAGGCTAATGTGCCTCGTTCAATGCAGGCGGGACAGGATGAGGAAGAGCCAAGAGCAGCAGGTGCACGCCGTGATCGAACGGACAACCATACCAAGGGACGTTTCAGTGAAGAAGAACTCGGCCGTATCGCAAAAGCAGTTGAGGCCTATCGTTCTGCCAACGATATGGAACAGTATCAGCTGAACACGATGATCCATGCGCCTGGAGGCACGGCCGCTGGTGAAGAGCATGCCGCTTTTTGGGACCGAATCTTTGCAACTTGCCCAGACCGTCACCGACAGAAAATTATCAACATTACCCGAAAGAAGTTTCATAACTTCGTCGCTCGTGGCGCCTGGACTACCGAACAAGATCAGGAGCTTCGTGATCTGATTGAGACCAACGGCAAGAAGTGGTCCAAGATCGCGGGTATCATCAACCGCCACCCTGAAGATCTCCGAGACCGTTACCGCAACTACATCATTTGCGGAGCCAGTCAGCAAAAGGATAGATGGACAGAGGAAGAAGAACAAAAGCTGGTTGAGGTTGTCATGCATACCATCGATGCAATAGACCAACAACGACACGACAATCCAAATGACACGAGGTTCCAGAGGCCGTACGTGGAGCTTATCGACTGGCAAACGATTAGCGAGCAGATGGGAAGAAAACGCAGTCGCCTCCAGTGTATGACAAAGTGGAAGGCCATGAATATCAAAACTCACGTCAAGGACCAGCTGGCATCTGCTGCACCCGACGCCTCCATCACTTTCCGCCTGGAGAAGGCGCGCCGTCAAATCGCTGCCATGCCTGATGAAGAACGCTATCGTATGGTCTTGGCCATTCACAACTCATCGGCGCGAATCGAGTCCAAGATTCCTTGGCAACGACTTGTTGATAAAACCTTCCGCGCCAGCTGGCATCGACCTACACAGATGCTTTTGTGGCGACGCCTGAAGCGCACAGTACCTGGCTTTCAAGAGAAGAGTGTACGCGACTGCGCAACATATCTGATGGATCTTTACAGCCAGACCGGCGAGCTCCCGAATGTAGAGGACACTCTCTACGACGATGCAGAAGAAGTGGAGTTCGTGAACAGTATTCCGATCGGTCAGATCAACAGTAGCACACCCGCAAATGGCCAGAATATCAGTGCCGAATACATCACCGAGGCTGACGAGGATGGAGACGAGTACCAGGCTGGTGAAGAGGCAGATGAGCACCAGACTGGCGAGTACGGTATGGTCGACGAGAACATTCAGCCCGACCTGCCTATTGCACCCATGGAAGATTACAGCCCTGCTCCAACGGCATCAATGGACCCGGTTGCACCAGTCGCGGATCTAGCACCTATGGAACCTGCTGAAATGGTTGACCCAGCTCTCTCTGCCGAGCCCATGCCACTCGAAGAGATCGAAGAGGAGGTGCCGCCCAGCGTCGAAGAGCAGGGACTCATCAACAAGCCTGTGGGCACTCCTGTGTTTGCCGAGCCAGCGCCTCCCAAGGCCACTCGGGTGGCAAAGAGAACAGGTTTTGGCAAAGCCAAGCCGCCGAAAGCTCCACGAAAGTCGTCAGCTCGATCTACACCAGTCAAGTCCACACCGACCAGACGTTCTACAAGGCGTGCCGCAGCTCCGTCTCAAGACCCCATCGAGGATTCCGAAGGAACACAACCTTCTGCTCCCGCAGATGATGATTCTGAAGTCGAAGACGCCAAGACACGCAAACGAAAGACGCCTAGCAGGTTCCGGTCCACTACCACTACCGAGCTACCCACTGCCGCTGACGACTCGGACAGTGTGATGGACGACATGGAAGACATGCCTGCACGCATCAGATAAACAGCGAGTAATTGCAGTGAAGCAAGAGGATAGGGGGGATGAACAAATATGAGAAGTGGTAGAGTGAGTGTTCGGCTGACGCGGTTGTACAATCACCAAGCCTTCGCACTAAAGCCGACGTGTAATACTAGTTTAGTGTTTTCCATTGCTAATACGGAGTGGGCTGAGTGCGGTAATTCATCAAAGGATGACAATGCATGATATAGAAAGGGTCATTGATTGCGTTTCCTCAATAACAATGGTATTTTTAATATTAACATTCCCATTTCGCCATGTGTCAGTCGAAGACATTTATATACAAATCTTGACGTCTCTCGTTAGTCTGCTTGAGCCGTCTGCTGGGGACTTTCATAAACTCGTCGTAACCCATGTCCATCACGTCCTGAACACAGATTGTGCATGTCATAACAACCAATATCTTTCTGATCCCAGACTCTACGACAGGTTTCTTGTGTAGATCTTGGGTTAACATCCTTCTTTATCGAATCTCGGGTTCCCGCATGAACTCGGGAATAGATAGACCTCCCTCACCAGGTTCAGAGTGAGCAGTGCCGAAGTTGCTCATTCGGGTACGGGTGACACCGGCATCAGCGCGGCCGATAGCGTTATCCAACAGCCCGACAACGTCGTCGACGGGGTTCCCGTCACGTCCAGGGCCAAGAGCTGAGTCGTTATCGAAAGAGTAGATTTTGATACCACGTAGATGTGTATCCTTGCCGTTCTGGTGGTTCTCAAGGATCTGCATCTGCACAACCCACGCAACAAGAGTATTGCCGTCAGGATCACCGCCGGCGCCAGCAATGGGGACTTGTTGCCAACCCACAGGATTCTCCATGGCCATGGTTGCAAACTCGATGAGGTTGTTCTCACTAGTACCGGCTTTGAAGACGACCTTGGTCGGGGTGTAGGATTCGTCCTCATTATAATCGACATAAAATCGAATGTCCCGAATTCCAACACGCTTGGTGAAGTACATGGTGAGTTTATGGGGCTGAGGGCCGTCGGATCTTGAATGAATGTTAGTTGAAGAAGAGGCAATAGGCTACAAATTCACTTACTGCCAGAATTGCTTGAGATCATCACTCTTGAGCTCTTCGACTCCGTTACCAGGCTTGTGACTACTGACGGTAAAGCGAGCGAGGTTAGAGACCTCCTTGAGACCGGCCGTAGCGGGATCGAAAAGGGGAGCTATGTCCTGAGCATGCTCTTCATCGACATCGTCTTCCTCATCCTCATCTTCATCCTCATCGGCGTCTTCCTCTTCGATGCTCAAATTTTCGTCTTCATACTCCTCTGGTGAGCCACTTGGCTGATTAGCTTCTGAGTCTTCCTCATCAGCAGCAGCAGGAGTACCGTTGAAAGAAGTCTCGGCTCCAGTGACTATGGCGGCAGCTTGTGCGGGCATTGGACGAGCTCGGCCATGGAGGATACTGTCATCAGGTTCAGGCTCAGAGCTAGAGCCATCGTAATCGAGTTGAGGCATACTGAGACGTGGGCCTTGGGCAACTTGTGTGCCTATAAGAGCGTTAATATACCGTCTTGTTTGCCTCTCTCTCTCTCATTCCTCTCATGTTTCTCATTGATTCGTTCCTCAAGAATCTCCATGTTCTGTTCGGCGGCGTGAATGGCGGCATCATCATTCTCCTTTTCTTCCCATGTGCAAAAAGGAAGTGGTCTTATAAGTCGCTCGCGCTCGCAAAGCAATTCGCCGTTCTTCTGTTTGAAAGGAAGATTGCCGAGAGGAACTCGAGCCAAACGCCCTTTATAGCAGTAGGGATGGCTGCGCTCAGAAACCTGACGCCGACGAGGAGGCATGTTCGCGAAAGCAGGGGAAGTTTTTCTTAGATATGCAGAGATGAAGAGTGTATCAAGCTCGCAGGGTGCTGTGGAAGTGTCAAGTGAAAATGTCACAGGTCAAGCAGGGCTTTGAACTTGATGGCAGGTAAAATACCCTTTGATCAAGTAAACGGTGCACGCAAGCTATCACTCGATACCAGCTGGCCAACTCTCAACACTGCCACATTGCAACGGTCCAAGCAATATTGTACTACGCTATTACCAGAAGGGGGGGCTCAACATAGGAACGAGAATCCAACTTACTTCTGTAGAGACGAAATGGATTTGGGGGTGGTGCTCGACGTCGTCGCTGCTGATCTGGTGGCTGGTTAGGTGTTGGATGAAGCGTAGGCCCATCAGGGGTTATCATAGGGGCAGCAACTGGAGATGCTCCTTGACTTGGATTAAGTCTACTTCTAACAGCAGGGCCGCTTGGAGTGGCAGCAAGTTGGGGGACTGGAGATGAGGCTATCTCGGATGTTTGAGGTCTCGGGCTCGATGCTGATGCTGATGCTGATGCTGCGTTTGCGTGCACATGCGTATTATTTGCATTTGCGCTTGCGTTTGCATTTGCGCTTGTGCTTGTGCTTGTGTTTCCATGAGTGGCAGCTACATGGCGGGCTCTTCTTGAACCTCGTGTGATATCCATACTTGCTACTATAGGTAGGTAGGTAGTGGCAGTAGCAGTGGCAGTGGTAGTGGCAGACAGTTGCAGGCAAGAGCAGTTCAGTTTCCTAGCTAAAATCAACACCTTGATCCATATACAGGCAGTCCAGTACCAACCTACTGACGTACAGGCTGCTACAGCCAATTCCCCTACTGTATTCGTACTTTGATACAGTCACAGTCAATTGATTAGGTAGGTAGGCGCGGTCGCGGTTGTGCATCCAATTAGGGAAAATGTGATGTGAGTGGATGGGTGAGCGCGCTGTCACGTGGTTTCTATTTCAAGCCTTCCCAGGATGGATTAGCTCGCGAGCTGACTCTTACCCCTGTCCTCCAACTCGAATTCTCACCCTGATCTACTATTAACAATGCTTTGACCTTGCCTGACCTGACCTGAAATGGTCTGGGCGTGTCTCAAATATCGGTATCATCTAATTATTGCTACTCGTGAAAGGAGACAGAAAAAAGAAAAGAAAAGAAAGAGGAAAAAGAAACGCAGGGACAATGCCATCACTCTGCAGATCCGTCCAATGCAGCAATTGACTGACTGACTGACTGACTGACATTCACAGTTCCTCGTCTGGTTGCGATCTCGGTTCAGCAAAAGCTTAATTAACTGAGCCAACCTCTCGTTTTTACATCCAAGCGACGATCTCTTCTTTTCCAGGTTCCTGGTTGCAATTATGACTTGCAGGGGTGAACCAGCCTTTTCTAGCCTCTCTCTTACAGGGACGTTGTACGAATCACGACCCCACACATAGAAAAGAAGAAAAAGACTTCCAGAACATCTTGACTGGAACTGCCAAGTTTGCAGTTTGACTTTGGCTCCCTGGTGGATCGCGTCATTCGCCTCTGAGGCTGAGGAGCTGAGTTGTCGTTGTCGTTGTTGTTCTGCTACGCCGCTGGCTTACATCAATCAAGCAGGGAGGTTATCTTGATACCTAGTCGACCAATGTCGAATGCCCTCCCAAGTCCCAACTGATCTTGATATTCGATACCGTTACATTGAAACAAGTCGATGATTCCTTAATCAAATGGGAAAGGCGGGCTGCCCGTTTAGCCTCCCCTCCCCCCGCAACGACGCCGTGACCATGTCCGTCTACGGTATACCCGTTCAACGGCGACCATGGTACGAATACCGTCCCTTGATTACTACCCACTAAGACAGGCACGAGGTCCCCTGGAAATTAAAGCCATCGACTCAGGTCCTGAGATGGAACGGGTATGCCGAAATAGCTTCAGCCCTTGCCGTCCTGACTAAAGAGTGAGGCATGCAGGAGATCGTCTGATTTCACCTTTAGTGCAAAGCCTAGCAAACATGAAACATCGGCTTGTGGTATCTGCGTTGCTACAGAACATACTGCAGTCTTCCTTTTAGTTGTCGACTAAGGACGGACGTTGGTGACATGCACGGCCTACGTATTGCCCTTTGTTTCGAGTCCTTACGGGCCACATCGCCAGCCTCATTTACAGCCATCATCCCGGCTCCGATCACTCCAACACGCCTCACCTTGAACCATTTCATTGGCAACGATCCGAATTCTTGGTCCAAGCTGCCGCCATCGTTAAGATCTTGGTGCGTCATTGTCGTTTTCACTTAACTACCGGCCTCCCCGCTGGCCACGTCTACTGGTAGATCTTCAGGGTCGTCCCATGGAGCCGGTCCTTCAATGTCCTTCACAAGATCCAAGCTTTGGATCCTCTTTTTGCTTCTGTGAATTCAAGCCAAGGCTTTGGTTGTGGCTCGTCTCAGCTTGTTCGACTTCTATTCGCTCTCAATGCATGCTGACGTTCAGAGTCCTCCCGTGCTGAGCTCACATACCCACCATCAATGCCATCCCAACGATGTCATTAGCAAGGATGGCCTTATTGAACTATCGTCAAGACAGGGTAACAGGACACTTGATGGGCCTTGATGATCCTGATGATCTCTCCGTCCGGACTCGCAGGTGTGAGTCTCATCAGCATAAATATCTAGACATGGCGACTGTTTCGGCCAGCTATCAATCTCAATCATCTCAATCACTTCTAACTGCAAGAGGCGAGAGCTAATCCTGGGGTTTCGTCTGATTTTGTCCCATGTATTTTGACCCTCTGCCTACCATTGAATCAGCTCTTACATCTTCTCCTCCACCCGATATGTCTTCATCCATACTCAATAATCGCTCGGCTCGCAGTACGCCTGCCGTAGCCAACTCCGCCTTTAGCCCTCCTGCCGAAGCCTCCAGCTCTTCGGCCCAAGAGAGAGGTTCAATTGTGCGAGATAACTCTCCTGAAGCCGAGAGCCTTCCATCCAACCCAGCTGTTACGCCTATCATCACACATGGGGATAACCTCGCGTCGCCCAACGGCCGAAGCTCGGAAGCTGATACAGTTGTGCCTCTCCAGCCTGCTGTTAGCCAAGACCCCGCCATTCGATCTCGTCCCGGCTCACGTACCGGTAACTTTGTCACTCCCAAGACCGCTCGCTTCTCTCAGGATGGCGCAGAGCCTGTTCAATACTCGGGCGGCTCGATAAAGTCTGCTCGACGACGTACACGCGAGCGTGATGACTACGACTTTGATCAAGCTGCCGACTACGCACCCATGAGTGACTATGAACGGTACTATCGTACTGAAGGTCGCAATGATCGTGAGCGGTACACTCGAAGGGGTCCTTACCCACCTCCCTCACACATGAACCGTCGTCGAGCACCTCCTCATGACTCGGACGAGGAGTTCTACAGTAGCGATGATCCTCGACTGCCTCCTAATGGTGGACGTAGGATGATGGATGAAGAGTTGGGCTACTCTGGTCGACCTTACGCTTTCCGACGCACTTCTACTCTTAACGGCTTCAACATCACAACCGGCAAACTTCAATGGAATGAGTTAAGCCGACAGGAGAAGTCAGAAATTATGCGTCTTCCATTGACGCAGTGGATGAACTCAAATTTCAAGAACCACTTCGTTGCTAGTATGGGGGAGTTCATTGGTACCACCATGTTCCTCTTCTTTGCCTTTGCTGGCACAGAGGTTGCCAATATCCAGGCCGACACCAACAACAGGACAACCACTGGTGAATCTACAGGCAGTCTTAACGTTTCCAAACTCCTTTACATCTCCATCATCTTTGGATTTTCTCTTATGGTCAATGTCTGGGTCTTCTTCCGTATCAGCGGAGGTCTCTTCAACCCTGCCGTCACCATGGCCATGTTGATGGTCAAGGCCATTAGCATCACAAGAGCTGTCTGTCTGTTCCTCGCCCAAATCCTTGGGTCCATGCTTGCCTCGGTTGTTGTGCGGTATCTATTCCCCGAAACATTCAATGTTCGAACTACTCTTGGTGGCGGTGCATCTCTGGTTCAGGGTGTATTTATCGAGGCTCTTCTTACTGCCGAATTGGTCTTCACGATCTTTATGCTTGCCAAGGAGAAGCATCGAGCTACCTTCATCGCTCCTGTGGGCATTGGTCTGGCCCTCTTCATTGCAGAGATGGTCGGAGTCCAGTTCACTGGAGGCTCGCTCAACCCTGCTCGAAGCTTCGGTCCCTGTGTTATTACCGGTAGCTTCGATTCGGAGCACTGGATCTACTGGGTTGGCCCTGCCATCGGTTCACTGATCGCCGTATGCTTCTACTGGTTCATCAAGACCCTGGAGTATGAGATGGCCAACCCTGGCGCCGATGGCGACGATCTCAACGACCCCACAAAGAACCCTGAAAAGCGAGCCGAGATCCAAGCTGCCAAACCGGCGGTAGTGCCCACAGCAGCTTTTGGCACCGGCAAGACGGCTTCCATTCTCAGTTAATGTCCGAGTTCATGAACTCATGGCTGCATGAGCGAGAACGACATGTATATGAAACATCAATGACTGGACGATGAAAGCTGACACATGCGACATGATGGTTCATGGAGATGATTGCTCAGTACAGCACAAATAAAATGAACTTTTAGGTTAGGGCAACATGGGAGATGATCGTACAAGCAAGGATTTACGATTTGGGACTGGCTTTAAATTGTGTAATGGCAGGAGTTAGGTTTATAGCGTTTTTGTATCACATTTCAAGCTTCAGCTAGTACATTTGGCAATCTGGGTAAAATCTTGATGGTATCTTCAAACATGCTTGTATGGGCAGTGAAGAATAAAAGGACCATACCGCAGAAACTTGCTCAAGCATGTTGGAAGCCGTTATGAGTTCGTTGCTCTTATATGAGAAGCCTACTGCACGAGGGCTTCGTCGGATACGTGAAAGGGCAATACGTCCCGCTGATAGTTGATCAAGCACACGAATGAAGAAGGCCATGCTAGGATAGGAGTATTCCGATATTGTACCATATCATATAGTAGATGCTGCAATGGAGCCATCAACTTACACGGTGAGGTAACATCATGGTGCAAGGGCAAAGACCATGGGATGTTGATGAGAGGTGTCACCAAGCCACTAAACCATTCAATCTTTCAGCAGTTCTGGACGTACTTGTGTTGAAAAACTACGTGGAGGATTGCTTGCATCGGAGTTCTGTCTGCACGCTCTCGGTATAACATATTCATACAAGAGCTGATCTCTGTTACTAAGCAGATGGTCTCGACAATACAGTGAATGCCCAAAGTTTGTTGTCAAATCTGACAAGATCCAGATTCTCCATGGTTCCTTACTTTATTCAGCAGCTATCATTCTCCAGAAAGTATCCCGCCAAAAGTCCAACAAGTATCTGTGCCCTATATTGGCCTCTATGGTGAGTCCGGCTCAACATCTGATAGTTCCATCATCTCTATCAACTCCATCAACTCTCGCTCCTCTCGCTGACGCTGTCGTCTGGCACGAAGGTTGCTCACAGTGAAGCAGACGGCGAGGTAAGAGAGAACGAAGGCGACGATGCCCCCTACGGCGCCAAGCATGAATCCAGCTGCGGAATCACGAGTGAATGCAAGATGGGCGCTATCAGGCTCAGGGGTTGTGATGTTGAGGTATGTCATGGTCGCGGTCTCGTTTAGTGATTTCAGGTATGGGATACGGTATAGCTCTGCGAGTGATTCTTGGTAGTCAAAACTCGATTTATCTGTCGGGGGTTGGTGGTTAGATACTTTTTTGAGATTGTCTACCTATCCTGGCAGACTCACAAGCGTAGTTTTGATAAGGAAGCTGTTGGTTATGTTCGGTCAGGTCTTCCGTGGTATGTTTAGGAAAAGTTTATGAAGAGTTGTGAAGTACTTGGATGAACAAAAGGGCGGTTGTGTGCAGCGAACGTACATGGCAGTGACAACCAGCTGGCAGGTTGCTCATCACAGAAGCTTAGGAACAAGTATTGGGTTTCTTGATCTTGACTGCTTGCTCTGTCACTTGGTTGGGCACTGCCAGTGATGTACAGTTGGTAGATTTGTTTACGACGAACACTACCTATGTTCGTTCTGGGTTCAACTGTTCAACATAGACGATAGGTACATGTGTTCTTACTGAGCCTTACAAGGCCCTTTGTAGCCATCATCTTCTTTTCTTGAACTGGAAATGCGCGGAGCTAATTATGTGCCTGTTACCTTGATTCTAACAAGAGCAGCAGGTAACAATAGTTGTAGTGAAGGGGCGTATAGGCTAAGCTCGTGATGATTTAAGGACCTTGACATATTTCAGAGAACTTCCATCACAAGAACCATACTCTCTCTAGGGAGCATCTTTAAACAATCCTGGTATTGGACTGCATGTGTGTTTGACTATACACCCGTTTTGGTCTTAATCAGGGGACAAGCAAGCATAATATGTTAATACTTGCAAAATCAAACGTGTGCTTAACAAGGTTACAAAGAAGCCCCGTTGGCTCAGTGGTAAAGCGTATCACTAGTAATGATAAGATCACTGGTTCGATTCCAGTACGGGGCATGTGACTTATTCTTTTACTATTTTTGCCGATCAACAAGCCCTTCTACAACACCTTAATAGTATGTATCTTGAGATATTCGTGTGTTGAGCTTCTGCTTGCCGTGACTACTGTTTTGGATGCATGCGCACGTGGCTTCCTATTGCGACTATAGGAAGGGGTGGCTAACATGTGAGAGTCGTCTTTTCCCTCGTATTTATGCCATCTTGAGTTTTCGCATTCACAATCTACATCCCGTAGTACATTTGGACCTCAGAAGTGAAGCCCGGTTAACTTTATATTAAATTAGTAAGTAGTTCATGATTAGCACATTCAACGTGCCGTACAAAGGGAAATTATTGACATGAAGTACATAGTCAAAATCTTTATACCTTATGAGCCTACCCTACACTAACGATGGTCAGTACTGTGCTTGAGACAATATTTAAGTGACCAAGAATAGATGCGTAGCTCCAAGTCACATATTTGTTTTCAGGTCATAAGCAACCATCATGCATTCTTGCGTGATTGATGGACTGTGCAGCATACGAGTGCCTCGTGACAGGCCTTATCATCTCCCATCTTGATGGTTTCAAGATAAGCTGTTGGACGTAAATACATCACGTAGTTCATGATCTACTTTGGCAAGCACTGGATAAAATGTCTTATACCCTATCCTCTGTCGTCAAATGCTTTTGATAGTGTGATGCTATTCTAACCTGTTGTCATGACTTCACGAGATTGTTTCATTACAGACGAAAAAGCGGAGAGTGGGTCAAAAGAGTAATTAACCAGACTGGAATAATAGACGGAAAGATGGGCAAATGCGCCAGGAGTCAAACAAGACTAGTCCTGTCAATGATGGCGCGTGCTTGAAGCGTTGAATTGAGAGATATCCATTGGTATTAATAAGCATAGGACAGCACGCGACAAAAGAGGTAGACACCGACCGCATTTCGAAGTCTTGAATGAAACTTGAAAGAAGAGGACTCAAGTTACGATGGATGACGACGGAACCCGAACAAGGATCATGTCATGAATACCCATTAGTACAGGAACAGGCACAGGAACAGTAAATTAAAATTGATGTCATCCGCCCACTCGGCCCCCTTTTCGCTTGGGCATGCTCATCAATACAGAATGATGGACGGGCGATGCCGAGCCAAGACTGGGCAAATGAGTGGAAATTTACTAATTATCATCTTGACGAGATAGAGAGTATTCATTACTGGTAATCAACCTGCCAAAGTTTGACTGATGACGGCCGGCCAGTCAAGATGAATTGGATTGGATGCTTTGCATGTGCCATGATAATATGAGTCGTTCATTGCAACGCTACGAAACTTGGGTCCTTGCCAGAAGTTGATTGCAGGTATCAGCAAAGCAAAACATCTATGCAAATGCATTATTCAGTCCAAGTCTGAAGTTGATAGAAACGCTGACTGTGATGATATACATTTGGGGGCGTGTGCATCCACCAGATACGACCTCATCATTAAAGTAGCAATTTTATGTGCTTTTCAGTAGTATCTCGGCTGTCGTAATTGCATGTATGTACAGTATGAACCCGTAGACTCTTGAATCCTTTCTCGCAATAATCAGTTAGTCCACATACATACATGCGTAGTACCTTATCTAGGTAACTAAGCAAGGGGTTGGGAATTAGAATCACCGCCTGTTTGCGGGGGCCATACATTAAGTCAACTACGTAGGTACGTAGGCAGTAAGGATTATCACGGGCTGTTGATCAATGCACGGATGGCTTCCATGCGTGGATATGGAGGTTTTCATGGATGTCTGTCAGACGAGTTTAAAGATAACAGTACTATATGGATAACCTGATGTTATATTACCATCTCCATCATCACTCTGTGTTTGTGTCGTCTGTCCTTCAACCGTACAATGCAGTGCAATACAATTGTATAATGCAGTATCAATATGAGACACTGTCTTGGTCTTTGACTTTTCCTCCTGACGCTTCCGTCCACGTTGTTATATCTTCAGACCAAGTCACTTATGGATCGCTTGTAACTTGTAGTGTCCGTTTTCATATTAGCGTTTTTTCCTTTGTTCCCTTTCAACATTGACTTTTCCTTTGATCTTCCGCATCCGTGGTAAAAAAAAAAAAA